CGCTTAAGAGTGTGAGTTCTGAGCAACAGCGGTTTGAGTCGGGCCTGAGCTGAGCTGCCACTGAGCTGCCAACAGGTGTCAGGATGGCTCAGCTAAAAAAAAAAAAAAAAAAAGCAGCAACATCACTTCCCCTCAGCTCTGATACCTGCCTGGCTCAGCTGTGTTGCTCCTGAAATGGGACAAAAATGTGAGTAATGCACACTCAGGACCACCCAAGGAAGCCCCCTTCCCTACTTATTTACCTTCTATTATTAAAAATGAAAACAATTCATTTCCAGAGGATAAGGAGCGGGGCTGTGGTGGTTTTCAGGATTTTAACCCACCTCCTTCTTGGTTTTCCTCCCAGCCTCATTTCCCTGAGCTATCCGTTCAGAACGATTCACAACTCACTGGGCTCTTTCCTCTCATTGGGCTTGATGCAACGGATGTACGAAGGTTCCTTGGAGATGAGAATTTCCAGAAGGCTGCTCAGGCTGTTTTTAAACTGAGTCCCCACCTGCAGGGAGAGGAAATGAGCGAAATAGACATTGCTACTCCCAGTTAATGCTGAGAAGACTGGCTGGGGTACAAGTATGCAGTGAGCGACGTGTAGGAGCCAGCATCACCTCCGAGCCCATCCCCCTCTCCCCCTGTTCCCTTGTTACCAAACTTCCTTTATGACACACATACTGTAAGCTCTTTCTTTATTCAATGGCACTTTCCTATACCATCCCCCACTAGATCATAAGTCCCATGAGCTCAGGGACCTTGTCTGTTTTAGTCTTGCTAAATCCACAATAGTTGCTCAGTGCATGTCTGCAAATGACCGCACTGATTGCTAACCTTGGAAAGTTTATATTTAGTAGACGGTGCTAGAAAGCAATACTTCCAGAAAAAGGGGAGGAAGGACTTAAAAAGTGTAGGTAGCCAGAGGTAACTGCACTCTCTGGGTGATTTTTGCTGCCTTTCAATTTTGCACAGGCATTTTCCCCACTCACTGTTGGCGACCTTCTCCGGTTTTCTAACTCGGCCACCAGGAAGCATTCCTTCAGGATGCCGTTTTTGGACGTGCACAGCACCTGTAAGGAAAGGGAGATGACAACCACATTTGCTGCTGCAGGCGTCATTAAGGGGTATTTAGGTAAACTCACACAAGTGTGCACAACGGACCAGTCATTTGCTTCGGGGGCACTTGAAGAAGAAGAGGGGAAAAACACAAACAAATGTGGAAGGAAATGTTTAAATACTATATCCACTGCTATACCGAGTTGATGAGGTAATTTAGCTGTTTTTCCTCTGACATGATGAAGCCATAATGGCTTCCAATCCAGCCCAGCCACTACAGGGTAAATAGTCTCCTTAAGAATGATCTCCAGGGGCTGGCCGAGTGGCTCAGTTGGTTAAGAGCGCAAGCTCTGAGGAACAGGGTCACCAGTTCGATTCCCACATGGGCCAGTGAGCTGTGCCTGAGCTGAGCTGCCAACAGGCAGCCAGATGGCGACTAGGCTTGGAGCTGAGCTATCTGCATCCTCCACAATTAAGATTGAAGGACAACAACTTAGCTGTTCCCCTCCCCTAATTCCCCAATAAAATCTTTAAAAAAAAAATGATCTTCAAAGACATACAGATGGCTAACAGAGCCAACAGATATATGAAAACATGCTCAACATCACTAGCTATAAGGAAAATGAAAATCAAAACCACAATGAGATACCACCTTACAACTGATAGAATGGCTATCATCAACAAGACAAGTCATGGGGCTATAATGTGCAACATAGGGAATATAGTCAATAATATTGTGACAGCATAGTGTGGTGTCAGATGGTTACTGCACTTACGGTGATCACATCTTTAGGTATATAAATGTTGAATAGCTATAGTGTACACCTGAAACTAATATTGTATGTTAGCTGTATTTTAATAAAAACCTTCAAAAACAAAAAAAGTAGTGAAAGAGGCTATGATAAAAATAGGAAGGGCTGGCTGAGTGGCTCAGTTGGTTAAGAGCTCGCTCAAGAGTTTGAGCTCTGAGCAACAGCGGTTCGAGTCCCGGCCCAAGCTGAGCAGCCACTGAGCTGCCAGGTGGCAGGATGGCTCAGCTAAAAAAAAAAAAATAGGAAAAGGGTGACATTTGAGACACTCTGGTGACACCTTAGGCACAACCAATTCAACTATAAAAAGCAGCTCAGTGTGTTAACCCATTGCTCAGATAGAATCATCCTGGAAAATTTCCAGTTTGATACAGAGGGTGCCAAAAAAAATGTATACACATTTTAAGAAAGGAAAAAACTGTATTCACATTGTAATATTCAATATATACCAATAACAAAAGATGAATACAAGTCATGTTTGACTTCTGAAATTATAAGAGGTTCTCAAAGTGGTTACCATCAGCGTAATTTTAAAACAGTTTTTTTCTGTTTCTTAAAATGTGTACACATTTTTTTGGCACCCTCTGTATATCTTACTGATAATCTGTATTGCAGTTCCAAATAACTCCAGCCTGCCTGAAATAGTCCCCTTGCCTGGACAAGGTGACTCTGTTTCCATGGAAAACATGTAGAAAAAGTATGCAGATGGTGAAGCCAATCAAATTCTTGTGTTAAGTTTTAGAAATTTTATAACCACTGCGATGATCAGTTTGTATCTGGTATTTAAGGAATTTGAAATATTTAAGAGAATCTAACGTATTAGCCTTATGACTTTATTTTGAAATGATACATTGGTATTCGATTTGTGGCTTTCATTTGAAAGCTGTAAAATAATGGAATATGTCCATTAATAGTATTTGAATGTTTAAGAGAACCCAAGTTACTATGTGTATATAGTAGTTTTATTAGATTTACAAGAGTTAGTTAAGATGTAGAAAGATTTTACTTCATAGGTTTACAGCATTGTCCCAGTAGGCATTTGAAGTGTTTCAGAAAATAAAGTATATTAAATTTGTAAGGGTAGTTGAAAAATATTTTAGGAAACTTAATTGCATGTGTAAAGGCAATCAATTGTTTGAGGAAATTTAATCTTTTCTTTTTATTTTTATTGGGTAACAGTGTGTTTCTTCCAGGACCCATCAGCTCCAAGTCAAGTTGTTGTCCTTTAATCTTAGTTGTGGAGGGTGCAGTTCAGCTCCAAGTTCAGTTGCCACTTTCAATCTAGTTGTGGGGGGCTCAGCCCACCATCCCATGCTGGAATCGAATCGGCAACCTTGTTCAGAGCATGCACTCTAACCAATTGAGCCACCTGGCCGCCCGAAATTTAATATTTTTAAACTTATACATTAATTAAATATGAATCAAACAACAAAAAAACAATTGTTTTCATTTTTATATAAAAATCACTACTTTTACAAATAGAATAAGTAGATTTATAGGTTATGTTTGAAGACTTCTAAAAATGAAAATAAAATGTTCAACTTATAAAACAATTTAATTCAACACTAAAAATATTTTCCCTTATATCTATACACTGGAATATTATTCAGCCTTAAGAAGGAAGGAAATTGTGACACCTGTTATAGCATGGGTGAACCTTGAGGACATTATGCTGAGTGAAGTCAATCAGTCACAAAAACACAAATATTGTATGATTCTACTTATATGAGGTACTTAGAGTAGTCAAAGTCATAGAGACAGAAAGTAGAATGTTGGTTGCCAGGGGCTGTGTGACCTTGAGCAAGTCATGACCTCTCTGGGTCTCAGTTTCCTCATCCTCAGTTCATGTCACCCCAGTACATTCCCATGGCACCAGAACAACATCTCTACTCCTCCCTGGGGACCTCAGCCTTCCAAGCTCTCAGCCCCGTCTCCTAACACTACACCTCATTGAACACACACTGAGCTCCTCTGGGCCTCATGGCCTTTGCACATGCTGGTCCCTCTACCTGGAGTAACCCTGAGATATCCAAGACCAGGATCATTCTCATTCGGGTTTCAGCTCAAAGTCATCTCCACAGGGGTGTTTTCTCTGATCCTCTATGCTAAATTAAAAATGTCCCCCTCAACCACAGTTATTTTCTTGCTTATTTTCTTCATAGCACTTTCACTGATGGATAACCTATTTGTGTACATATACACTTTTTCTTGGCTACTGTCCTCCCTCCCACCCTGTTCACCACACGATGGAGCCCCATGTTCACCGCTGAAACTCCAGAGCTAGCCCAGTGCCTGCCACCCGGGAGGGGCACCACGCACACTTGAATGGGTTTATTGAGGGAAAGGTTCCTACAGGTGTTCGTAAATGGCTGTTCCGGCCATGACATGCTGGAATTCTAACACAACTCACGGAACAGAAAAATCCAGAAAGCCAAATCTACCCTAAAATCAGTGTCATGGGTGATATCTCCTAAATTTCAGACTCACCTCTTTCAGATGTCTGTAGAGGATATCACTGTTTTTCTCCAAGAATCCTACAAAACATCAAGTAAAAAAAAAATTTTGAATCAATGGCTTTGCCTAAAAATGCAATTCCTTCCCAATGGATTGCAAAGGGAAATCCTAAAAATAATCTCTTAGTGTTAGAGGAGAATTCTCAGCCTTGGCACTATGACATTTGGAGCTGGATAATTCTTTGTTGTGGAACCAGTAGCACCTTCTTCAGTTGTGACAACAAAATACGAAGGTATGACAATTAAGTTCGTGAACTTGTTGCAATGATGTTGCTAACCTTTTTTGATATCAGAGGGATTATTCATTATGAATTTGTACCAATTGGACAAACAGTTAACCAAGTTTACTATTTGGAAGTGTTGAAAAGGCTGTGTGAAAAAGTTAGATGAACTGGGCCGGCCAAGTGGTGCGTTGGTTAGGAGCTGGCTTGGGATGCCAGCGCTGAGCAGCAGGGCCCCAGTTCGAATCCCAAATGCGGGCCAGTGACACTGCGCCCTCTACAGCTAAGATGGTGAACAACAGCTTGACCTGGAGTTGGGCTGCTGTGAGTCCCCGGCGATGGCGTAGGCTGCAGCCCCTGCTGCAGTGGGCTGCCATAAGCTACCGTGAGTGGCCAGCAGCCAGCGTGAGCTGCCAAGAGCCACCGTGAGCAGCTGTCCAGGGGCCGGCGACTGATCTGCCTCACCCGGGAAGAACACAATGATAATATCAACATGGGCCAGTGAAGTGACGTCCTCCACAACTAGACTGAAGAACAAAAGGACAACTTGTCTGTTCCCCTTCCCTGATTCCCCAACGCTGTTCCCCTCCCCCAATTCCCCAATAAAATATTTAAAAAAAAAAGTTAGATGACCTGAACTTCTCACCAACAATTTATGATTCTTGCATCACGACAATGCACCAGCTTACACGGCACTGTCTGTGAAGGAGTCTTGTTTTGTTTTTTTAAGATTTTATTGGGGAATTGGGGAAGGGGAACAGACAAGCTGCTGTCCTTTTGTTCTTCAGTCTAGTTGTGGAGACGTCGCTTCACTGGCACATGTTGGTATTATCATTGTGCTCTTCCCAGGTGTGGCAGTCACTCACCGGCCATTGGACAGCGGCTCATGGCAGCTCACGAAAGCACACACCAGCTGCCGGCCAGCCCCACCACAGCCTCTGCCGTCGCTGGTGACTCATGGCAGCCCAGCTCCAGATCGAGCTGTTGTTCACCATCTTACCTGTAGAGGGTGCAGCATCACTGGCCCTCATGTGAGATCCGAACTGGGGCCCTGCTGATCAGAGGTGGTGTCCCAAGCCAACTCTTAACTAACTGAGCCACTCGGCCAGCCCCTGTGAGGGAGTTTTTAGGCAGTAAACAAATAACTGTATTGGAACACCCTCCCTTCTCACCTGATCTGGCCCCCAATGACTACTTTCTTTACCCGAAGATAAAGGCAATATTGAAAGGAAGACATTTTGATGACATTCAGTGCATCAAGGGTAATATGACGACAGCTCCGATGGCCATTCCAGAAAAAGAGTTCCAAAATTGCTTTGAAGGATGGACTAGGCACTGGCATCAGTGCATAGCTTCCCAAGGGGAGTACTTGGAAGGTGACCATAGTGACATTCAGCAGTGAGGTATGTAGCACTTTTTCTAGGATGAGTTTCACAAACTTAATTGTGTGATCTCATATGTTTCTAGACATTGCCAGATGTCCCTGGGGGGTAACCCCTCTCTGATTGAGAACCAGGTTCTCAGAACCAAGCTTATGACACACACATTATATTCTAAATCCCAATGAGCTACCATATGAATATACAGTCTCTTTGCTGAGTATTATAAACGGCCTAGTCCAGTAGCAAAGAACTATACATACAACGAATGACATCAAAACAATGGATGGGGCACTGAATTCAAGCCGCCAGGTGAGACCATGCAGACGGAGGAGAAAATCAGGCCCACCATTAAGAAAAATCAAACTCAAGTACCAGGGTTTGTGGTACCCAATGGCATCTTCATACAAAGGAAGACATGTCAATTCCAATGTTAAAAGTTGGTTTCAAGTACTCACTTAAAACCTAATCAGTTAATTAAATTAACAACTAAATGGCATTATAAAGTCAAAACCAGCTAAAAAAGACATGCATTAAAGATGTCTAAGATACAACTTTTTTAGATGACAATGTTATCAAAACTAACATTTTTATTGTGGTACAATATACATAACATAAAATTTACTATTTTAACTATTTTTTTTGTTTTTTTAAAGATTTTTATTGGGGAATTGGGGGATGGGAACAGTGCTGGGGAATTGGGGGAAGGGGAACAGACAAGTTGCTGTCCTTTTGTTCTTCAGTCTAGTTGTGGAGGACGTTGCTTCACTGGCCCATATTGGCACCATCATTGCACTCTTCCCGGGCGAGGCAGATCAGTCGCCAGCTTCTGGATGGCTGCTCACAGCAGCTGCTGGCCACTCACCCTGGATGCTGGCTACACACGGTAGCCCAAGGCAACCCACTGTAGCCGGGGCTGCAGCCTACGCGGTCACCAGCAACTCACAACAGCCCAGCTCCAGGTTGAGCTGTTGTTCAGCATCTTAGCTGTAGAGGGCAGTGTCACTGGCCCTTAATGTGGGATCTGAACCGGGCCCTCTGGTGTCCCAAGTCAGCTCTTAACCAATGCGCCACTCGGCCGGCCCCTTAACTATTTTTTTTGGATACAGTTCAGTAGCATTAAATGAAGTCACATTATTGTGCAATCTTCACCATGACCCATCTCCAGAACTTTTTTTCTTCCCAGACTAAAACTCTGTACCCCTTAAACACTAACTCTCCATCCCGACCCAGCCCCTGATAATCACTACTCTACTTTCTGTCTCTATAAATAGGACTACTCTAGGCACCTCATACAAGTGAAATCATACAGTATTTATTCTTTATGTGCCTGGCTTATTGCACTTAGCATAATGTTTTCACGGTTCATCCATGTTGTAGCATGTGTCAGTACTTCCTTTCTTTTTATGGCTGAATAATGTTCTATTGTTTTTACATACCACATTCTGTGCATCCATTCATCTATCAATGGAAACCTGGGTTGCTTTCACCTTTTGGCTATTGTGAATAATGCTGCTAAATACCTGGTTGTACAAATACCTGTTTGTGTCCCTGCTTTCAATTCTTCGGGGTATATACCGAGAAGTGGTGTAAACGAACTTTGACAGAACCTTTAACCCAACAATGCCACTCCTAGGAATTTATCCTATGTATTATATAATGTGCACAAATTGGCCAAGTGAAATTCACAAAGATGTTAAATGCAGCCATGTTTTATAAGAGACAAAAGATGGAAATGAGTGTCCATCAAATAGATGACAAAACACAGCCCTATGGGGAGGACCTGTAGCTTTCCAAAGAAATGAGGTAGAATCTATATCATTCCATGGAGAGTGGATGCAGATAGGGAGGTGAAAGGCCTGAATCTGCACCCCAGCTCTGCCCCTTACTAGCTGTGTGACCTTAGGCAAGTTACTTAACTTCTCTGAGCTCAGTAGCGCATAGATTAAAAGGTGGATAATAATGCTCCCCACCTCAATGGCTTCTGTGAAGTTGGAGTGAACAGCAGACAGAGGTAAAGCATCTGGGACAGTGCCTGGCCCAGAGTAAGTGCTCAATTAATGTTAGTTGGAATCCAAATGATCTCCACTATTCATTAATTTAAAAATGCAAAATAGAAAACACAAAATAACAAGAAACTGTTGGTTCTTGTGGTTACTTCAGGGGAGACAAAAAGGGGCTTTTAATTTTAGTTTTGTGCTATTCTGTGCTGGCAGCAATTTTTAGCCTTACATGTGCATTACTTTTATCTTTCAATAAAAATCAATAGATTATATGATAGAAAGATTTGTCCCATTTAAAATTCTCCTGTTTTATACCACTCTTTTTTTTTTTAAAGATTTTTATTGGGGAATTGAGGGGATGGGAACATTGCTGGGGGAGTTGGGGGAAGGGGAACAGACTAGTTGCTGTCGTTTTTGTTCTTCAATCTAGTTGTGGAGGATGTTGCTTCACTGGCCCAAGTTGGCACCATCATTGCGCTCTTCTCTGGCGAGGCAGATCAGTCGCCGGCTTCTGGACGGCCGCTCACTGCAGCTGCTGGCCGCTCACGCTGGCTGCTGGCTACACACGGTAGCCCATGGCAACCCACTGCCACAGGGACTGCAGCCTACGCCGTCGCCGGCGACTCATGGCAGCCCAGCTCCAGGTTGAGCTGTTGTTCAGCATCTTAGCTGTGGAGGGCAGTGTCACTGGCCCTCATATGTGGGATCCGAACCGGGGCCCTCTGGCGTCCCAAGCCAGTTCTTAACCATCGCGCCACTCGCCCGGCCTTATACCACTCTTTTTTAAGGGAAAAAACCTAATACATGTTATATTACTTTTTAAAGATTCTTAGAGACATAAACTTATTTCTAAATAAGAACCTAAATCAGAAGAGACAAAAAAATTTTTGAATATTTTGAAAGAAAATATTCATAGCAGCATTATTTGTAACAGCCAAAAAGTGTCAACAACCCAAATGCCCATCAGCTGATGACTGGATCAGCACAATGTGGTTTATCCACACAGTGGAATATTATTTGGCAATGAGAAGGAATGAAAACAGGCGAAGTGAAAGAAGTCAGACACAAAAGATCACATACTGTATGTTTCCATTTATAAGTAATATCCAGAATAGGCAAATCTATAGAGACAAAGTAGATTGGTTTATTGCCTAGGTTTATAGGGGATGAGGTTGGAGAAAAAGGGGGCTGACTGCCAATGTGTATAGGGTTTCTCTTTGGGGTGATGACACGGTCTAAAATGGACTGTAGTGATAGTTGCCCAACTATACAGTGAATATACTAAAAACTGTTGAATTGTACATTTTAAATAGGTGAAATATATGCGAATTATCTCAAAGTGGATATATAATACACACACACACACACACACACACATACATAGTAAATAAATTAAAAAAGACCTTTCAAACGGCATGCTTGCCTGTGGGGCTAGGGAACATTTGAGATGGCTGTGCAGCATTTTTTTCAGTGGACACAGAGGCACCTGCGTGGCTGGGACCTGTGCACCCAGGGCACTCACCTTTGGTGCAGTATGTGACCTCTCCGGCGTAGTGGAAGAGTTGAAATTCCATCCAGCCAATCCTCTTTCGGCCCATTGGATCCGCCAGCTTCCGGCTACAGCAAGACAGAAATAGACATGAGCTGAACCTTTCTACTTCACAGTAACAAAATGCACTGATACATAAAGCCGAATGAGAGAGAGTTTTGACAAGGTGTTTAGGACCACGATAATCTCCTGAAGGCCAGCACTAAAATCGATCCACCTACAGCAGCTCCATGAAGCCTTGCTGCCTATTTCATCTGGCTATAGGTCAAGGTCTCTCTAAAGTTAACCCTTCCTTCTCCTAAGCTCTGAGGAAGAAGAAAACATGCATGAGCCACAGAAACACATTTATTTGTACAATGAAGTAACTTCCATTTTTCTAGGAGAGCACTAAGAAATAATTTTACTACCTTATATTCTTATGATGTTGAGACTAAAATACTCATGAAATATTTTTCAGATTCTGGTGATTCATAAATTTTTTAATAACTTTTTCTTGCAATGCATATACATATATATTGACAGCATACATAGCCTAAGTGTATGTACAGCTCAATGATTTCTCTTGTTTCCATGTGTGTGTAATCTATGCACATCACCGCATGGAGTTATACTGTTATATTCTAATGGCCGTATTTTATTTCATTTGTGAATATACCACAATTTATTTTTCCATTCTTGATTCATTTACATATCCAATTCCATTTACTTATCCTTTCAATATTCTACAACAGGTTTGATAAAGCCACTACCATTTATTGAATCCTTACTATGGCCAACAATTGCTCGAGGTGATTTATGTCATTTACAAAGGTATATGGCAGATATATTACTATTTTTATTTTGTAGAAGGGGAAACTCAGATGCAGGAGTGTTGCTTGCCCAAGGTCGTGTGTCTAATGAGTGGCAGAGCTGGGATTCAAAACCAGGCCTTTCTAACTCCAGAGCATATGCTCTTAAATTCTCTCCTTATCTCAAAGACTTAAGTAAAATTTCTAGTTAATTTTCTGGGATGCTATAAATAAATGCTCTATGTTCGGATCTGTGTGGTGGTTATGTGGGTACATACCAATATAAAAATTCATTGGGTTGTACACTTCAGATCTACACATGTCACTGTATGTACTTTATACCTCATTTAAAAAAATTTTATTGGGGAACAGCCATGGTCATTGGTTACACATTGCTTTCATGCTACAATGGCATAGTTGACTCTTTCAGGGAGGGCGCAGCTCACAGTGGCCCATGCAGGGATCAAACCGGCAACCTTGGAGTTAGCAGCACCGCGCTCTAACCAACTGAACTAACCAGTCACCCCCGTATACCTCAATTTTTTAAAAAGACCATCTCGGGCCGGCCAAATGGCTCAGTTGGTTAAGAGCTCGCTCAAGAGTTTGAGCTCTGAGCAACAGCAGTTCAATTCCTGGCCCAAGCTGAGCAGCCGCTGAGCTGCCAACAGGTGGCAGGATGGCTCAGCTTAAATAAATAAATAAATAATAAATAAATAATAAATAAAAAGACCATCTCACACATGTGGACATGTCCAATATGAAATGACAATGAATAAAGCAAGATACAAAATCTTTAACAAAAATTCAACTTGGAATTCATTTGAGTTTGATTTTTTACAAGAGGTATGTATATACAGTAAGTCCTCACTTTACATCATCAGTAGGTTCTTGGAACTGTGGTAAAACAACATATAATAAAATCAATTTTGCCATAGGCTAATTGATATAAACAAGAGTTAAGCTCCTATGGCAGGCATCTCATCAATGCTATAACGAAATGACATTATTCGAGGATCTGCTGTATGTGATTTGGTGTACCATAATGTGCTCTTGGGGAGCTCTGCCCCAAGAAAACGGATGGATATCCAGTGATCTTCCTCCACGCAACAGCTTGTCAAATGAGATACATACGTTCGGAAGTGTGCGTGCTTGCCCACTTTCTCTTCCAGTTTCTGGAGGAAACTCAAGTCTGTAGCAGGACCAGGACGAATGCATTCTTCATCCTTCCAAAGAAAAAGAGAAGCCTCAATCCCTAGCACCACACTCCATCAATTCCAAGTTCAAATGCTTTCGCCAGCTGTGGCAGAATGTATTGGACTAACATACCGTCATCTCATACAAGTTCAAGTGAACCTTTCAGGGTTGGGTGACTAGTCCATCACACGTGCTCAGATTTTCAGGTTTGATAAGGGGACCATGGAACCAGAGAGACTGGACCTCTATGAGAAGTCAACTCTACCATCTAGCCGACGCATATTTCCAAAGACTTCTCAAGAATGCTCCACAGCTTCCATGACCAGCATACGTAAACACTCGACCTCATTTTTTCTTAACTACTCACTGCTGGCCAAGAACACATCCCCTTTTACTAGGAGCAAGCTCTCGTGGAAAGCAAGTTATAAAACCATTTGAGTCTAACCTTCCATATTTCTCAAGCGGTGCCTTTCTATTTCCTACTTTGGGTCTTCAACAATGATAGCATTTAATTGATCATCTTAAAAAATTAAGGATGAATCAATCGATGCTATAGCTTTTATTAAAAAAACAACAACAACAGAAACCTGGGTTAAAGTTGGTGAGACAACTCTTATAAAGTAACTTTGCTATGCTTTTTGATCTCATCTATGGAAAACCAAATGGAAACAAGTATTTATTATGAAAATATTTTAAAATACTAGCCTAGGAATCCACATGAACATTGCTTAATGTCAGTCCTTGCTTCCTGGAATGTGATTCTCCAATGTCCACAAGGCCTGTGCCCTCTCCTCCTTCAGTTCGTTGCTCAAATGTCACCTTCTCAGTGAGTCCTTCCTAGATCATCTTACCTAAAATAGAGCCCCCCTCCCCAGCACATCGAATCTTTTCTTTTTTCTCCATTGCACAATCCACATATTTTGCCCATTAACCTCTTTGTTGTCAGTCTCTCCATGCTCAAGTTTAAAGTCTCCTGGGTGCAGGGGTTTGGATCTGTTTTGTCCACTGCTGTGTCCCAAAGCATAGGGCACAATCCCGGAACAAAGTAAGCATTCAATGAGTATTTGTTGAATGAATAGAGCCTGAATATTTACCATGGACTCGGCACAGCTCTAAGCCCTCTGCATGTATTATCTCACTTAATTTGACCTCACAGCTCCCCTCTGAGGTAAGTGCTGTTATTGCTGTGCCCATTTAAAGAGAATGAAATTAGAGCTCAGAGAGGTTAAGACACCTGCCTAAGGTTGCACAGCTAGTAAGCAAAGGGGCTGGGCTTTGAAACCAGGTGGTACCCATGTTCCTGGCAACTACAGTCACCACCCATTAATGTCTCTGCTGTGCTTTAGCATGCTGGGTTCACACAGCAGTTAGGTAGGGTGGTTGGGGTGGGGCAGGAGAAGAAAGGGGACCAGTTATTTTCATTAAAAGTGAGGCAAACCATGGTGCAGATGATCCCAAATGAAAAGCAAGGCAAGGAAACCCCTTCTCATTTGGCCCTCAGGATTTATTTTAAAAATTGATGTTTGAACTGGAACAACTGTGGATTCAAGGACATTGATGGTCTCAGAAGTCACGACAGTTCAAAACAAGGTCACAGGCCTACCCTGAGGAACCTCAACTCAGACTCAATGGATGTTCTTTGGAAGGCCTTCCTTTATGCTTTTTGGCTTCCTGCTTGGTGTTATGCATGAAAGCAGCCCCTCGCCAACTGCCACCAACCGCCTGCCTAAACCAGGCCCCCAATTTTCTGGTTCACCCCTGCATGTCAGTGGAAGACAGCTACGCGTGCTCTCATTTCAAAGGTCTTTCTTTGCTATCTCCTAATGGGCTATAATTTAGATCTGTGGGTTGAAACGAGAGGGAAAAACTCAGCCTAAAGCTCCAAGCAAGAATTCAGCAGAAAAGCTCAACTTTTATGTTTCAGTCAGCTGGTGGGTTCCACTCTTGACCCTTGTAAGCTGGGGGGAAAGTTCTTCCATGTATGGTAAACACCGTGTGAGTGGGCTCTAAGTCAATATTAACTTTCTCACCAGGATGGAAATGATTCCTTTGTGTCTCTCTTCTACCAAATCACAGATGATCTTGTTGTTGAAATACTGAATTGGCTCCCACTGAAATGACAAAGAGGAAAGAATTCTCCAAGGATTTATGAGGTGTGATCAAACAACACAGTGAATGTTTAAATTAAAAAAAATTTATATTACGGTAAAGGACACATTGCCATTAACCCTCCTCAAAATACTCCCACTTGTTCGAACACACTTATCCCATCGTTCTTGCCACTTGCTGAAGCAGTTCTGGAAGTCCTCTGTTGCGAGTATCTTTAGTTGCGCTGTCATGGCTGCCTCAATGTCCTGAATCATTTTGACTTTGGGGCAGAGCCAGAAGTCACACGGTACCAGATCCGGTGAATAAGGTGGATGAGGACACACAGTAATGTATTTGACAAAAATTGTCATACCAGAAGCGATGTGTGACACGGAGCCTTTATGTTGTGATCAACAAACAGGGTGAATGCTGCTGCCGAGTGACATCCAATGGAAAAGCAGGGATCTTCAATATGGGAAGCAGCGCATCGAACCTTAGTAACAGTGTGTGACAAGTTTCAACTTGTTTGGTGCAGTCAGTCAGGTGTGAGCTACAGTTGAGAGAAGGTGTGTTTTAAAGTGTGCCATAAATCATCCTCCATCATGACAACACTCTGTGTCACACATCACTTCTGGTATACAGCAATTTCTGTCAAATAAAAACATTACAGGGCCAGCCGAGTGGATCGTTGGTTAGGAGTTGGCTTGGGAGCATGAGCTCTGAGCAGCAGGGCCGCCGGTTCGGATCCCACATAAGGGCCAGTGATGCTGCACCCTCTACAACTAAGATGGTGAACAATAGCTCAACCTGGAGCTGGGCTGCCGTGAGTCACCGGCAATGGCGTAGGCTGCAGTGGGCTGCCATAAGCTACCGTGAGCGGCTGGCAGCCAGCATGAGCCGCTGTGAGCCGCCATGAGCAGCCGTCAAATGGCCAGCAAGTGACTGCCTCACCCAGGAGGAGCGCAATGATCACAATACCAACATGGGCCAGTGAAGTGACGTCCTCCACAACTAGACGGAAGAACAAAAGGACAGCAACTTTTCTGTTCCCCTTCCCCAATTCCCCAACGCTGTCCCCTCCCCCAATTCTCCAATAAATTCTTAAAAAACAAACAAACAAACAAACAAACAAAACATTATAGTGTGTCCTCATCCACTTTATTTCCTAAATCTGGCACTGTGCAACTTCTGGCTCTTCCCCAAAGTCAAAATGATTCAGGACATCGAGGCACCCACTACAGCGCAACTAAAGATACTCACAAAAGAGGGCTTCCAGAACTGCTTCAGAAAGTGGCAAGAACGATGGGATAAGTGTGTTCAAAGCGAGGGGGAGTCTTTTGAGGGGAATTAATGGCAATGTGTCTTTTACTGTAATAATTTTTTTATTTAAACATTCACCATATCGTTTGACCACTCCTTGTAATGAGCATAAAATAGATTTCTTTTTAACTGATTTCCCAACTTTTTTGTCAAAATCTGTTTACCACTAATATTAACAAAATAATGCTTTCTGAATCTTAAAATAATTTCCCAGGAAATAAGCAGAGACGGAGGGAAAAATAATTCTTAGTACTAATCAGGGAAAATTGCCAATGAAATAATGTTTCTCAACGTCTTTCACTATATTAAGAAATCAAATGAGGAGAAAACATCAAAATGTTTACCTCTATACCTTCCATTTCATATTCTGCCTGTTCCGCTTTTAGGGTTCTCTCAATTAACAGTTGCTGGAGTTTTTCATTGCAGTAATTTATACAGAACTGTTCAAAACTAGAGATGCAAAAGATTTAAGTAACTAAAGCTATGCGAGTAGATCCATTTTTTAAAAAAATTGTATTTACTATTTTTAAAGATGGCTTTTAATATAGAAAAAGCAAAGTCCTCATTAATCAAATAATTTACAAAATAGATCACATGCGTCAAGCTAAAAGACATCTGCATTTTTTTATGGTTAGTCCACTTCTAAAACAACTGATGAATTAGGGGCTATGCAAATTTGGAGAATTTCTGGGGACAGGAAAATCAATTCTGATAACATTAGAGATGCCTTAAACCAGACTGAGACCTTAAAGAACAAAGGACTAGGAGGCAATGACAAATGGACCAACTCACCCATTCTTGTCAAAGACTTCGAAGCCATAGATATCCAGCAATCCAATCACAGTTTTCTTGGTGAACTCCTAGTCAAAATCACACACGCTGCTCATCATTAAGTCTTTTACTTTGTGACACTCAAAATCCAGTAGCTGCCCCCAAATCTGGGACTAGGCTATAAAGCTCATGCCTTCTCTTTCCAACAATGACTCACAGAAGAATCAATGTCCCCAGACCACTCTTCCTGCCTGCAGCTCGCAAGAATCTCATTCTGGCTTCCACATCTATCACCTGAGCAGTGAGACCGTCCCCTTCTGATTCACTTCCTTACTTCAACCTTCCTCAGCTTCCCAAGCCCACATTCAACCCAAAAAAGAAGAAAAGAAAAAGACCTATAGGCAGCCAAGGAGATGTTTACCCAGGAGAGAAGACAGGTGGTATGGGTATCATTTAAAATAGAAGACCAAGTGCTGTCAGGCAAGCATGGATATTTAAAGAGAATAGGCCTATTTTTTTTTAAAGGGACACAATTGAATTATCCTGAATGGTGTACAGGCACACCTTGTTTTATTGTGCTTTGCTGTATTAACGCTTCACAGATGTTGCATTTTAACAAATGGAAGGTAAGACCCTCCACCAGCCAAAAGATTATGACTTAGCTTTATTGCGGTGGCCTGGAACCAGGCCTGCGATATCTCTGAGAGATGGCTGTACTGAGTTAAAGCCTCCCAAATCTGTCCTTGGCATCCTACCGCCATGAGTTTCACCACCTCCATGTACCTCGCCCCCTCGTATCATTTCCTTAATTTCTAGCTTTGAGTAAATTCCCTCTTTTATTTAAATAATTCCACTTCAAAAGGAAATGTGGGGGCAGCCGGTTAGCTCAGGTGGTTAGAGCTCAGTGCTTATAACACCAAGGTTGCCAGTTAAATCCCCACATGGGCCACTGAGCTGTGCCCTCCACAACTAGATTGAAGCAACTACTTGACTTGGAGCTGATGGGTCCTGGAAAGACACACTGTTCCCCAATTAAAAAAAAGGAAATGTGACCGTAGGGTGAATTCAAAAGAGTTGTATTTTTTCCAATACGCAGTAAATATTATATACTACTGTTAAAATAAAAAACTTCTGTGTATACTTAAAGCCATCTGGCATACTTCGAATGCTGTGCATCCCATACTTTGGGACACACTGCAAAAATCCCCATCATGCCTTTTTGTGGGCCTACTGTGTGCTGGATACTGGAAATGTCGAAGTGCAAAGAACAGTCCCCGCCCATCAGGAGCTTACCGTCAATTCTCACATATTGTTTACAGTAATTATGTTGATTATAAAATATGACCATGTTAGCGAGAGCAAGTCATCCAAAGTGTGTGGACTAACCTTATTCACTATGGAGGAATTAATTTTGTTGACCAGCCAAGTGAATGTTCGTCCATAAACAGCCTTCGCCATTGCATCTCTCGCGAAGGTAGAGAGTTCTAGCGTCAATGGGCATAGCACCTGAGAAGAATGACAGGTGCATTGTTACAGAGGTTTTTAATAAAAAGCCCCAAGTTTTCAAATTAGCCTTTAATGATGACCAGCAAAGGCTATGTGCTGGGGGAATATGCTACCCCCACGTAGTACACGTGCACGGAGTAGCTATTTTTTGAGTGCCAGACGCTGTGCTGGACTAATGAGATACAGCCATGACCAAGACAAACAGTTCCAGCCTTTTGTGGGCTGGGCTCACATTGGGGGGTGGGGGGGGGCAGCACATTCAGTAAGTCACAGAAAGAAGAATCATGTTGTCCTCAAGCTGAGAGTGACAGTGCTATAAGGAGATATATATGGTGCTGTAGGGTAGGGGTGGGAAGAGGAGGGAAGGCTCCTTGAGAAAGTGCCCCTGGGAACTGAGGAGGAGTCAACTAGATGAAACACAGGGAAGTGTCCCAGCAGAGGGAACAGCATATGCAAAGACCCTGTGGGGGGAAGACATGGTGAGCGTGAGGCATGGAGAGTTGGTGATGGTGTGGGATGGGGAAGTTACAGCAGGAGATGCTGGCAGGAGCTGGACCATGCAGGACCTGGTGGGCAGGGTTCAGGGGGGGGCCACCATCGTGCTGGCAGCAGCAGTGGGGGGGGCAGGTACATTTCCACTAGAGCCATTTACCTCTTCAGTTTGGGCTTCGATCTTTCTATGGGTGAGAGCTTCCAGAAGGACTGATGGTTGGAACCCCAGGAGCTGCATAAATGTAAACCAAAATGCCATTCAGTGATCCAATGTTACTCGCTAGCTTATAAAGCATTCATGGAGTTTTCAGGCCCAGGGTTCTCTGCCCTGTGCTTTTATGCAAAACAGACCACATTAGCTCTTTCAACCAAGTGGCTTTTACCCATGCCCTCACCCAGCCCTACACTCTTGACGCCTCCTAACCAGTACCAGCCATGGTGTCAGCCATCTGGGACGTGGGCACCCAGCTGCCTCGCTCCCCTCTCCCGCCTCTCCACCTCTGAAGGTGAACATCACCTTGGCGATCCATTTGATCTCGCGGGTGACTGGTATGGTGGCACAGCCCTGGTGGTTCACTCCAAAACAAATGTTCCCCAGGTGTAGGACACTGGCAATAATTCCAAAGAGATTCTAGGAACGTGGGAAGTGGTGAGGACAGGGAGAGAAGACGGCAGCGGCCTAATCGATAAATGTCATCAGAGGAGATACCCGAAGGAAAGCCACCCTTCTTCCCACTTCCAGCCCTGAGCTCACAGAACCGCATTTTCTTCCTTTCCCAGAAACGGGCCTCTTGTCCACTTCAGATATTAAAGAAAGAGCCTCCGCAGAAGGTGGGGAGACGCCTTACTCGATCTCCAGCACAGGACACTTCTATCTTTATATCCCTCCCACCCAATACACCGTTTAATGCTCATAGGCCATGGTCCCAGATACATATATTTGAATCCTATTCTGGTCCTTGGAAGATCATTAGTTTAACCATCAAAATAAAAAGACAAAAAGATGTCCAAACAATGTTTATACACACTACAATTCGTGCCAAGGTGTTCCAAAATAGAAGTTTGAATAAATAATCGTTCTATGAGAATTCATTATCTATGAGCTCTAAATACCTGAGACTGGACTTCATGGGAAAGAAGAAACATCACCTCCTTCCCCTCAACACTGGGGAAAGTTAGAGATGCCAGGAAAAACGCAGAGCGCCCAGTTAACGTTTGAATTTTAAGTTATCAATGACTAATTTTTTTTTTTCGTGTAAGTTCATCCTGTGCCATGTTGGGACATGCTTATACTAAAGAATTAGTCATTGCTTGCTTAGCTGACATTAAAATGCAAGTAGGCGTCCTGTGTTTTTATTTGCTGAATCTGGTAGCAATCACCAAGAAACCGGGATCGCCATCTCGATCCCAGGCCTTATGGTCTGTTCTGCCCTCAGGACCCCGTACCTCAAGGTCGTGTTCAGTAAAATCGATGACAGAAAAGGCATTGGAAATGGTTTTCCAGTCATTCTTGTCATTCATAGACGACTCGTTGGCACCATGACCCTGTTGACACAGAATTGGGTCGCTTAATGGCATTTTTATAAGGAGAGTTAGCATGTGAATACCTAGTCCTAAACTGAAATGGTTTTCTCTACAAGCATGCAAGAGCTAGTTCTATAATATTCTGAACTGTGAAAACACAGGTTTTACTCTAATCATTGAGCATATGATTTGCCAAGTGCTGCTTTACTCAAATTTATTTGGAATTTTATTTAAAAATCTCTGTTCTGGGAAAAATTTCCAAGTTGCATATTAGTGGTACATCTTTTTGGGTCTGTTTTAAAAAGTTTTTCTGCCATTTTTGCTAAATAAACTGAAGACCACTCATCCCTATCCATGTCTGCTGAGACATAGAGGGAAATGATAGTGTTTAAGTTTAGAAAAGTCTCGGCACACTTAGCAACCCCCAGCAAAAACGTCCCTGCAGGACGAGATGGAAGGAGACTCTCATTCAAAGAAATAAAAGTTTGGCATTTAGAAAAACACAGGTTATATGGAAATAATGGCCAGCAGGGCTGCGCTTGAGACTTTTCCCACTAACTCTAGAAGTTGTCTTTTAAAAAGTTAACAGATGTTGCGCTCTTCCTGGGTGGGCCAGTTGAAGCCATGCCCTCCGCAACTAGTCTGAAGAACAAAAGGACAGCAACTGGTCTGTTCCCCTCCCCCAATTCCCCCAATAAAATCTTAAAAGAAAAAAAAAAAAAGTAACAGACAGACCAATGTCACAATTTAAAGAGAAAATATTCTAGATGAGGGTTTTTCTTTTAATTATTATTTTGCTTTTGGTGTACAGGGGGTTCTTACTTTCCTGGTTATCTGAAGATGTGCTATTTGAAAAGATTTCCTTGTTGCATAGAGAAACCAAAGGAGTCATACCGTGAAAACGTTCACCATTGAAGTGGTATAGATTAAATCTACAGCCTCCCAGCTACCTCTTTTCCCACCACCAGCAGCAGCTGCTTCTGCCTCCCAGGGTCAGGGTCTCTGCAAGTCGGTCCTTCAAATACACCTAGAGCAGCGGTTCTCAACCGTCCTAATGCCACGACCCCTTAATACAGTTCCTCATGTTGTGGTGACCCCCAACCATAAAATTATCTTCGTTGCTACTCTATAACTGTAATTTTGCTACTGTTATGAATCGTCATGTAAACATCTTTTTGTTTTCCGATGGTCTTAGGCGACCCCTGTGAAAGGGTCGTTCGACCCCCACAGGGGTCACGACCCACAGGTTGAGAACCACTGACCTAGAGGTTTAGAAGCAGTGCAAATACACTGCGAACTAAAGCCACATAGTTTGCCAAAGCTACACTGCCAAGTAAAGCCACATAGTTTGCCAAAGTTACAGAGATCATGAAATCAATCAAAATAATACAAATTCTTGAACAAAGCCATTGAGGCATGAGGATCTGGCCAAATTCACTTGGCCAGAAAAAAATTTACAAGGCGAAAGCTATGATACATTCCATAAAAAAATGATTTGATTATCAAAGGTTGGGAGACGCCCTTGGGAAAATGGATGAAGCCCTCAGATATTTTTACAAATTGATCCTCCCTGATCATACTGTGAAAAGCCAAATGCGATGCTACCGCCCAGTTTTATTGGAAAAATTAGGTCCTCAAAAAGAAAAAACAAAATCGAATTTGATTTGTTTGTTCTAAGAATCAGTACAAAGTTTGTTAAATATTAAATGAGATTATGAGATTTGTTCATTTTCACTATTTAACTTCACGTTTCAAGATAAATTTCAGTCATGTCTGGTTTTTGGTTTTTTTTCATGACTTAACTACAAAATGTTGATGTTTGTTTTACAAGATTCACTTTATAAGACCTCATTCTCTTTTCCATTATGTTTCCTCCTGCACTCTTTCAGTGACCTCTGTTCAACGTCAGACCCAGTGAGAAGAGAAAAATCTTGGGGCCAAAAGGTGCTAGTGACATCAAATACTGAGAGGTGCTATACCATCTGGGCACTCTAGAACCCCAGTTCTGGCTGCAGAAAAATTGGCACGGGGAAGTTAAACTCTGAAAGTCAATTTCACAACACGAGATCTCAGGGGTACTTATTGGAGTGGCCTAAACGATTTCTGTGAGGGAGTATGTTCATTTCGCAGCTAACTGTTCTCAGAATAGAAGGCAACAGGGTGCAAAAAGCCTTTTCCAAACTAGGTGTTTTAAAATTTATTATTAAAAGTATTGGGGTGACACTGGTTAGTAAAATTATATAGGTTTCAAGTGTACCTTTCTATAATACATCCTCTATATATTGCATTGTGTGTTCACCATCCAGAGTCAGTTTTCCTTCTATAAAGTAGCTACGTTGTAGACACAGACGGACAGTGAGTTTCTATCACACCTAGACCAGTTCTCACCTCGCCATGCATTAGAATCATCTGGGAATTAATTTAATTACCTTGACAATCACAGGCAAGTTTTACAAACAATGCAGATGTTCAGGTCCCACTCTAGACTAATTAAATCTGAATCTCTGGAGGGTAGAGCTCCAGTATTTGTATATTTTAAAAGCTCCTCAGGTGATTCTAATTTCAGCCAGGGCTGAGAACCACTCACCTAGATATTGGCGACTTGACCAAGATGATATACCTGGCCAGGCATAAAAGGAGGGGTTTTGATAAGTATCAAGAAACAGTCAAGGGCTGACCGAATGGCTCAGTTGGTTAAGACCGGGAGCTCTGAGCAACAGCGTCGCCGGTTTGTTTCCCACATGGGCCAGTGAACTGCACTCGTGCTCAGCTTCCGCTGAGCTGCCAACAAGTGGCAGGACGGCTCAGCTGGTGAGAGCGTGCACTCTTAGCAAGAAAGTTGGCAGCTTGACTCCCACATGGGATGGTGGGCTACACCCTTCCGCAATTAAGACTGATCACGGCATCTTGAGTTGAGCAGCTGCAAGCTGCCAACGGGTGGCTGGATGGTGACTGGACTTGGAGCTGAGTTTGCTGTGCCCGCCACAACTAAGATTGAAGGACAACAACTTGGCTGTTCCCCTCCCCCAATCCCCCAATAAAAACCTTTAAAAGAAAAAGAAAAGAAAGAAACCAGTCAACAGGATACCTCCAGAATGATAATGAGAAAGTTCCTGGGCATCCCACAGAGGTCCCCACAAACACCGCTGGTCCCCCCACACACACATACACACAAGGCCACCAGAGCCAGCTGCTGACTCCCCCAACCTGTGAGAGGTACTTATACAGACGGGGGTCTCGCTCCAGTCCCAGGTAAGCAAGGAGCTCCTCGTCACCGCCCTCTAGCAGCTGGTAGAAGATGTGGAAATTCCGCTCCCCCTGGTTTTGATAGACGACACGAGATTTTTCTATCAAGTAACTGATGATATGCCCGCCTACGGGAATGCCCTTTAAAACAGGACAAAAAAAAAAAAAGCAGCAATGACAACAATAAGCAAGCCACTCTCTTACTGGTGTCTTGTAAGGAACGAAAATTCTGAATTTGAATGAAGTCTGATCTAGCACTCTTCTGTGATGAGCGTTTTCTGGGCTCCGGGTAAAAAGAGTTTTGCCTACCTCAGGGTCATGAAGATGTTTTCTGTGTTCTTATCTAGAAGCATGATTATTTCACCATTCATGTTGTGGACTATAATTGCTATTTAATTTTTTATATGGAGTGAGGTGAGGGGGTCAAAAGTCTTTTTTATCCATATGGATTTCCAGTTGCTTAGCACCATTTATTAAATAGACAATCCTCTTCTGGGGGCGTCCGGTTAGCTCAAGTGTTAGAGCGCAGGCTCATCACACCAAGGTTGCCGGTTCGATCCCCACATGGGCCACTGAGATGTGCCCTCCACAACTAGATTGAAACAACTACTTGACTTGGAAAAACACACTGCTTCCTAATAAAAAAATTAAAAAAAAAGACAATCCTCTCCCTACTGAATCACTGGGTGCTTTGTTGTAGGTGACCTATCTGTGGGGGTCTTTCTGGACTCTATTCTGGTCCATTGGCCTGTTTATATACCTTGTGTCAATATCACACTTCCAATTATCATTTTTAATACATCCAATAAAGGATTTGTATTCCAGAACATATATAGAACTCTTGCTAATCAGTAAGAAAGAAAACAGCCCAATTAAAAATGGGCAAAAGGCTTTAATATAAAAGATTTTTAAGTGTCCAATTAGCAAAACCTCATTAATTACCAGGGAAATACAAACATAAATCACAGTGAGAAAGCTCTATACCCCATCAGAATGCCTAAAACTAAAAGGACTGACATACAAAGTGTTGGCAAGGGTGTGATGTGTCTGGGGCTGTCATTAATTATCATAACATTGCTGGTAAGAACCCAGTAATGCCACTTCTGGGTATATGCCCAACATTAGTGAATGCTTGTGTCTACTAAAAGACACGTACGCAGGAGGATGTTGAGAAGGCTCCTTGCAATAGCCCCAAATTGGAAACACAAATGTCCACCAACAGGAGGATAAATGTTGACACAGTTAATCAAACAATGAACTGCTACACGCAATGACATGAATGGGGCTCACAGATACGTTAAAACCAGACACAAAATGTAAACATGCTGTACAATTCCGTTCATATGAAGTTCAAGAACCAGCAAAATGAATCTGTGATTATAGAGGTCAGAACCGTGGTAATCTTTGGGAAGGGCGATATTGTCAGAGAAGAGTGGGAGAATCTTCTAGATGCTAAACATTCTTATATCTTGACCTGAGGGGTGGTAACACAGAGACATATGTAAAAATTCACTGAGTTGTATAAATGATTTGTAGCGATTATTTTTTTTTCAAACTCTGTGTACATACCACCAGAGGTCCACACCACCAGCCTCTGGGAAACCCTGAGCCAGTTTGTCCTCTTACTACACTCAGTGTTCAGCTGGATTCTGTTCTCCAGTCTAAGAGTCACTTTGTCACTCGGAATTATATGCCCTTGAGCACTTTGTCTACCCTTCCCACTTGCATTAGCGCCATTTAAATTCTGGGCACAACACAACCACACTCATTCATTATGTAATGTCTCCGGCTGTTTTCACGCTACAGCGGAGTTGAGTAGTTGGGACAGAGGCTGTATGGCCCACAAATCCTAAAATATTTACTATCTGGCCAAAAAAGTTTGCTGACCCATGCCATATAATTATGCATGCCTACATAATATATTGTTTGCTTGGGAACGTTTTCAAACTTTATAAGAAACAGCATTGCACTGATACAGCCCACGTTCCCAAGACCTGTCCATGTGATGTGTAGCTGTCATTCATTTGCTCTCACTGCCATGCAACCCCTCATTGTGTGAACACCCCACAATTTAACCAGCCAGTCTCCTGTTGATGGATATTCAGTCCTCTCCAGATGTGTTGGCTGTCCCCAGTCCTTGTACCATCAGGGACAGTGATGGCGTAAGCGTGCTTGCCCATCTGTAGGAATATCTCCAGGAGTGGAACATCTCCACCTTATATGATGTGATTTCAACTTCCCAAGATAATATATCATTTTCCATTGTACCAATGTACCCACACACACCCCTCTCCCAGCAATGTGTAACAGTTCCTAATGATCCACCTCTTTGTCAACACCTGGTATTATCAGACTTCATAATTTCTGCCCATCTAGAAGGTATAAAAAGGTGTCTTCTTGTGCTCTGTATTTGCATTTCCTAAAATGAGTACTAATCCCGGATTTTTCAGCTATTTGAACCAACAAATGCCGTTTCTGTCACCAGCAAGTGAAGGGGTCCCCATGAACCAGTACTAGGAATGTCAACGTACCTGAAAGTCAAACTGTATGTCCATATATTTTCCAAATCTGCTGGAGTTGTCATTCCGGAGCGTTTTGGCATTTCCAAAAGCCTTGGAATACAAAGTTGGGGAGAGGGGAGAGGCTGAACCAAACTGTCATCCACTGTCATTTAAGCTCACTATGTTCGTCCAATTCCACGCATATTGGGAAAAGGGTTGAGGGAGGGGGAGCCAGTGATGAAAGCCATACTTCTGAGAAGGAATCACTAACTGTGGAGGATCTGATGCCAAATACTGGGGTTGGACTGCAAGAAAAAAATACTATCTTCTCCTTGGATTCCAACCTAGGAATAGATTAGAAATGGCCTAAGGGGAGGTATTTGGGGTCCTAGGCCCTTGCTGTTCTAGGAGGCACAGGTGATGGCCCTCATCACCAGACAGGCCCCTTCTTATATCAAAGAGGTCAACTGTTCAGCCCAAAGGTCTATCAGGAAAATTCCTTCAACCATAAACACTTTTTACACAAAGGGCAACAAAGACAGAGGAGAAAAATAACTTGTTCAAAATCATCCAGCCAGGCAGTGAATTGCAAGAGTAGAATAATCATTAAAATAATTTCCATCAATAAAATAAATTAATAATTTTAATACTAAATATTAATAAATAATCGAGCATTATTTTAGTGCTTACTAATTCTGCTGTGTGCTTTTTATGCATTCATTTTGTTTAATCCTCAAAGCTTTCTAAGAGGTAGGTACTATGAGTAGACCCATTCCACAGATGGAAAAACGGAGTCCAGGGTATGAAGTGATTTGCTGAAGCTTGCTGGTGCCTGGCTGCCCTGGGATTAGCATCCATGCCCGCAGGATGGGAGAACCCTTTGCTTAACTCTCAGACAGTGACCTACCCATGTGGACTGAGGATTCTTCTTACTTAAGTGACCTTCCTGGAACTTCCCTTTATGGGTCCTCAAAGATGGCTTACCTCCAGCACTGGATTGGAGAGCAGCAGTCTGTCACGGGCTATTTGTAATGAGTCGGTCATTGGGCAGGTCATTGCTAAATACTGGAGAATCTTCTTGGAGGCCTCCGTTTTCCCTGCCCCGCTCTCTCCAGAAATGAGGATGAGGTGGTTATTTAGCTCCGAGCACATCATGCGGTAAGCGTTGTCAGCTATGGCATAGCTGGAGAAGGAGCAAGACAGAAACGGAAGGAGTGGGAAGTGGCTATAATGCAACTTTCCTGGCTCTGACGCCCGCCAGAGCAGAAAAACAAAGTACCCTGTCCCCAGGAAGCCACATCCGGACTGTGGTACAAGTGCGCTGAGCTCAGAGAGAGGTCAAACCCCCACCACGACCCACTGACTGACAACACACAAAGTGTACTAGAAACCAAAGCTCACATCGCACAAGAGAGAAAGTGAAGAATTTGAGTAGTAATGAAAATAATTTTTAATTTAACAAATTTATTTTTTTTAATCTCCCAATATTTCTTATAAGAATAAGCCAGATACTAAATTATGTCCCCAAGAGATGTCCTATTAATTAGAGGTGGTAATAACACCTTGTCTAAATAATATTAAGCAAGTCAATAGATATAATAAAATCTCACATTTTCTCTTTCCCTCAAAACCTAGAGTATGAAGAGTATAGAAACAGAAAACCAAAAAGATTTTAAATCCCTGTGATGACTCTTGTCCTAAATGCATCATAAGGGCTTTGTCTCTAAGATAAAAAAAACAAAGCATAAAGGTCTCCCAAGAGTATAATCTTTGCACATGGCTGAGTTTGAAAGCTGGCTATTTCAGAAATCGCTGATGGTAGCAATGCAGAAAGGTTTCTAAATGCCTTGGGAGGTGAATCGAGACGCCAAGAAAAATGGAGGGAGAACCTAAATATAAGCCCAGAGATCAACCAGGGAAGAGAACTGGGAAACTCAGCAAAGTCCCAAATCACATGTAGATCACACAGGAAATTGCTAGACTTTGGTAGTAAGATTCTACCAAATGGGCATTCTCCTTCGCTGACATGATACTCAGGCACCAGTAGATGGAACGGTAGTAGTAACCCACTTCCTAGGGAAGACGCCTCTCTAACCACATCCAGGTTTCTCAGCGGTTACAAATGATTGCACTTCTCATCATATTTAAGCTGAGTAAACAATGATCTGCTGATGTTTTCTACTGTGTTGAGAGACTTATTTCACAAGAAGGCAGCAGTTTAAATGAGATACAAAACCTAATGAGCATGCATCAAGGATTTGTATGGATGAATGGATGGATGGATACTGGATGGATGTATGCTGGATGGATGGATGGATGGATGGATGGATGGATGGATGGATGCATGGATGCATGGATGATGAGTGGATGGATAGAAGAATAGATGGATGAATGAATGGGTGAGAGGGTAGACTGAAAGGAGGCAGAGAGAGAGGGGGGAACAAAAGAGAAAGGAGATCGAAAAATACCTACTGATGACCTGATGAGTGCTACTTACAGATGTGGTGGCAGTTCAAAGAAATTGACCCCTTCGTAAAGTTCCATCTGGCTCAGGGTGTAGATTCCAAGCTCCTGGTATGGATTCACAGACACAAGGAGGGTGCCAATATATGTCTAGAGGAATGGACCAAAGCACTAGTAAGGAATTCCGAGGTGCAAAAGACCATTACTTGCTATGATCCCCACGTGTTCATTAGGTACTGGGAATATAACATGATAAATAAGACAGGTGGAATCTCTACTATCATGGAGCGTACATGAGGGGCAGGGGTAGACAAACAACTAAGGGATCAAAACTGCTTCAAATAGTGTTAAGAAAGGTATAGAAAAGGTAATAAGAGAGCACATGACTAAAGAAGGTCACCTTAGCTTAGGAAAGGTTTCTCTAAGGAGGTGACATCTGAGCTGAGACTTGAAGGATGAGGAGCCAGTCATGAAAAAAGTTAGCGAGAAGGGCATTTTCAGGCTGAGGGAACAAGTGTGGCAGGCTGGCTGCACTGGAGGCCAGTGATGGAAGAGAGAACGGAAAATGATAAGAGATGATGCTAGAGAGGGAGTGAGTTCAGATCCCACAGGGTGTGAGGGATTGGGGGTTTATTCCAAATGGAATTGGGTGGTGGAGACACCACTCCCTACTGAAGTGAAATGCCTGCCCTGAACTGTTATACAAAATAGATGGCTTTAAGGGGTGGACACCATGCTGAATTTTGTTTCACAAAGGTCTCTCTGGCCATTGGGTGAAAGCAGCCACCTAAATATTTGGGCAAACGCTCCCACTGTTGGCAATTAATTTCCTTGATTTCAACAGTAGATTCACATTCATGTTTTTGAAGTACTTACATTTGTAATATAACTACTAATGTAAAACTTCCTGGCATACAATTGAGAATAAGCAAAGCTCTAAGCTCATATAGAAAAAGTAAATAAATATTTGGGCTCCTTTGAACACACATCTGGTGGTTTCAGAGTCTGAGGTGTTTGTTGTTGCTTTTTCATTTCAAGGTCTCCAATACTGGGGGTACCCGAGACTACATTAAATTAGGCAAAAATCATTCCAACTATTGTTTCCAATCTCTAGGACACAGTCAAGCAGAGAACCAAAACAGGGAAGAGTATTTTCACTAAAATTTCTCATTGCTTCAATCGGTAGAAAACTTCCAGCGTAGAATGTAGTTTCTGAAATTTATCTGTTCAAATTGAAAACATTTAGTTTATTCGTGGTGATCCTATCATCCCACCTACACTTCTTCATATAATGCTATTTCTCCTTTGCTTATACATAAAATCAATTTATATATAAAATTTATATATAAAATCAATTTATATATAAAAAATATGTGCTCTAAGAAGCACCTTATTTGCTTATTTCTTCTGGTAACCTTGGTTTCAACATGTAGATTAAGTTACAGGTACCATTACAAACAAAATAGCTACAAGACAGAATTTTTTAATTTTTTAATATTTTAAACTGCTTCTGATTATCTAATTACTCTTAACAAAGGCTAGTAAAATCTTAATAAAATTAAATAAACTTAGCAACACCCCACTCCACCCCCACCCTCCACACACAGACACTGTAGAGTTTATCCTAGAAGAATTTACCTGAAAATTGACCAATCAAATCAGGGTGGGGTGATAAATTGAGATCTTAATAATAAGTGGCCAACACTAGAAGCAACAAGCCCAGCTTGAGGAGTTCTTGACTCAAAGATTCAGGGGATGTGGTGGATATCTCTTATTTTTGCCTGCCTGGCATCTACAATACTTTTCTTTCTTCCAACAGATTCCTTAGAGGAACCTCTTCTCCAGCTCACAGTCCATATCATATGGTGACAGGGGCATGGACCTTACCCCTCATCTCAGGGGTGGGCTCAGATATAGACTGTCCAGTCAGAATATTCTTCATTCCTACCTATGGATTGGTTCAGAGATAGGCACATGACCCAAGATGGGCCAATCAGAGCCAACCAATGTGCATCTCTGGGAAGACTTGCTGTCTTCTTGGTAGCAGCTCTAAGCTCATAACCTGTCAGCCTGGTTCTACTGGGAGCCATCTTGCCACCTTGTAGAGAGGCTGCCCCAGAAGGAAACTGGTGCAAAAGAAAGCAGAGAGATGGGAAAGAGCCCTCAAGACATCACCTGAGACTCTAGATCTACTCATAGACCCTAAAATTACATAGGTTGATGGATTCCCCTTTGGGGCTTAGGCCAATATAAGTTGGGTTTCTGTCACTGACAGCCATAAAGGCCTTAACTGAAAGGATCAAAGTACATCGGATAGTGGTATCTCCACACCTCCCTTTACTGGCTAACCTAATAGAGTGATATTGTTCACAATCATCAAAGTTGTGAAGGCAGGGAGGGAACCACCCCTGTAGGAATATAGCTGAAAAATGGGTTACGTTACATAGATGAGGTTCTGACTGAAACGCTTGCGAAGATTGTCCAAAAAAGCAGATTCGCTGGTATATGCATCCAACATCACAAAATCCTGCACCCCGACCTTGTCCCGGGAGGTCAGCGTACTTTCCATGTGCAGACGAATGTGCCTCCTCATGTCTTCTTTCTGCAGGAAACAGAACATGCCTTAGCAGCTCGTTTATTCTCTAATTTCTATGGCACTTCGGATGTGGAAATAGCAAGGTGCTAAGCCCTGGGGATGGTAGAGAGCTGAGATTAAATGATGCTGTCTTCATTAAGAGCTTACATTTGGTTAGGGATACAAGAGGCTGATGACAAAAGCAATAACTAGGCACAGCAGCAGCTGACAGGAACTGAGCATTTCCTATGTTAGGCACTACTCTAAATGCTTGATATGTACTGTCTCCTTGAATCCTCATTCTGACCCTTTGAAGTAAGTACAATTATCATGCCCATTTTACAGATGATGAAACTGAGGACAGAGAGGTTATAAAATATGCCCAAGACCTGCCAAAAAGGCAGAACCGGGATATCAACCTAGAAATCCTGGCCCCAGAGCCTGCTTTCCTGACCATCAAATGCATTCAGCAAATGTTAGTTGCCTAAACCCGCTATGTAATTCCTAGACAAGCGATAAGGAGTTTGGTCAGAAAGAGAATTTCTTGTTACAGAAGAGTATTCAAGGGAGGACAAATTTGGAGGGTCCTCTCCCCAAGGCTGGGCTTCAGATCTCCCTGGAGAAGGTATGGTTGCAGCCAGCTGGATGGTAGAGAATCTCACTGGGTTACCAGGGCCAGAGCTGGTCCACAGTCACCAGGCAGAAGAATAAACCCCCTGGGCACAGGGCAGCAAAGGGAGTCAGATCACTGCTGGGTGAGAGACTCGGCGCTCCATCGTTTGAGTCAGGAGAATCACAGGAAATGGCTCTCCGGGGCTCAGGCCAGCTGAGGCTGGAGGGCGTGCCGAGGGAGCGGTCAGTGCAGCCGTAGTAGGGGGACTGCCGTGTGTGATGTCTGTATTGGGAGAACTGAGACGTGGTCATCAGGCTCCAGCCAGGACTGAGAGGTCACCGAGGGACTCTGTGCTCTTGGCACACAGTTAGTGTATGTCCCATCTCCATGCCACTGTGCAGCTGACTGTGCAGCTGCAAAGCAAGAAAAAGTAAAACACAGCAAAAGGAGCCCGGAAGAGACGCCTCCTGCTATGGCAATGTCCCTCCAGCGCCCTCTGCTGACAAAGATTAACATTACGCTCACTTCAAGGAGAAAGGCTTAAGGAGAACAACTCATTACCAAAGTGCTGGCAATAAAGAGTGAGCTTTGATCTGAAAGACCATCGATTGACAACTGGCATATATGGATGTGCAAAGGTCCTAGAATGGACCTAAAACGACCTTGAAAAAAGTAAAACAAAGCTAGAGGACTCACACTCCTTCACTGTACGTAATCAAGGCCGTGTGTCGATTGATTTTTGACAAAGGTACCAAAACAATGCTGTGCAGAAAAGAAATATCTTTTCAACCAAGAGCACAGGACTACTTAGATACCCATAGGGAAAATTTTCATTTCATTTCAACCCCTATCTTATATATATTTGATTTTACATATATATTCAAATATATTTTAATAATACATTATATAATACATATATAATAAGCACATATATACATATGTATGAATTAGATATGGGTTCAAATGAAATTTTTTTTATTATGGATCTCTAGTTGTGTACACACACACACACACACACACACACACAGAATGCCAAAAAAAGTGTACACATTTTAAGAAAGGTAAATCTGTATTAAAATTGCAATACTCAATATATACTGATAACAAAAGGTGAAACAAGTTGTGTATACATGTTTTTGCCCCCCGTATATATATTATACATATTATATATAATATACATATACACCAAATATATATGATTTTTACATATAAAATTTATATATATTTATATTATATGTATATAAATCATATATATATATAAACTTGAGATGGATCTTAGATCTAAATGTAAATGCAAAATGTATAAAGCTACTAGGAGAAAACAGAAGGAAATATCTTTGCATCCAGAGGAAGGCAAAATTTTCTTAGACAATACACCGGAAGAAACAATTACAAAACGAACAAACAAAAAGAAATTAGACTTCATCAAATATATAACTTTTCATCTGAAGACACTGTTAAGAAAAATGAATAGACAAGACACAGGCTGGCAGAAAATAGTCACAAAATATATACTTACCAAGGATTTGTATCCAGGATAAAAGTCTCCTACAGCTCCCTAATAAAAAGTCAAACCCAATACAAATTGGGCAAAAGACTTGAACGGACACTTCACAAAGGAAGATAGATAAATGGTCAAGCGGCACATAGAAAAGGACTCAACATCATCAGTCATGGGGGGGGGGGTGGATTGCAAATTAAAACCACACTGAGATACCACCAGAATAGTTCGAATACAAAAGACTGACAACATCAAATAGACGCAAGGATGTGGAGCAGACGGAACTCGCATACATTGCCGGTAGGAATGCAAACTGATAGGGTCACTTTGGGAAAAGGTCTGGCAGCTTCTAATGAAGTTAACCATGCCTCTACCCTTTGAGGCAGCAATTGCAATCCTAAGTATTTACATAAGAGAAATGTAAACATATGCCCACAAAAAGACTGGAACATGAAGGTTTACATCACCTTTATTCATCATGGCCCCAAACTGGAAACATTCCAAGTTTCCATCAAGTTGAGAATGGATGTGGACCATCTATACAATAGAATGGGTACAGTGATGAAAGAGAAATGGCTGGTGTGCCCAACGACACGGATGACTCTCACTGACATTATGCTGAGTGAAAGAACTCCGACACAAAAGAGTTCATGCCACATGGTTCCATTTGTATGAAATTCTAGGACAAGCAAAACGAATCTACAGTGAAAACTCAGAACAATTGTTGCCTGGTGAGAGGGGATTGTCTGGTAAAGGGCATTTTTGGAGTGATGGAAACGTTCTCTAACTTGATAGGGCTGAGAGTTACATGGGTGTATCTATTATTTATCAAGATATTTTGTTAGGATTTTGTGCATTCTGAGACACGTAATTTTTATTTGAAAAGTAACCCTTAATATAATTAAGTGGGGAGGGGATAGAGAGTGGGTGGAAGTATAAATGAAAACAGAGTGACAGAATGTTATTAGTTGTTGAAGCTGGGTATGGGAGGGATTTTTTTATACTGTTCTGTTTACTTTGTAGTTTTAAACCTCCCACAAGAAGTTTAAAAAACAGAATGGCCACCAGGTGTCTCCCTACACTAGCCAAATGGGGCTAGAATAAACAATCGTCTGCTCTGGAAGGTTGAAAACAATGCATTTAGAGCAAGCAATATTTTGGTGATTCCAAATATTCTCATTTTTAAAGTTTTGTTTTGTTTTTATAAGGCAGGCAGTTTAGCATAGTGATTAAACACAAGGACTTTGAACTGAGCCTGTGCAAGTTCAAATCCCATCTCTCTCTCTTCCTGGCAGTACAGCCTTGGGAAAGTCTCTTAATCTCTTCAAGACCTGTCTCTGCTCCATGTCTGTAAAATGGAATCAATTGTACCTACTTCACAGGGTTGTTGGTTTAAAGAGAACCATGGAAAACACTTGGAACAGTGCCAGACACAATGTCAGCTCAGTGGGCACTTGCTTCTGTCCTCATTAGTATTAATGATACTATCATTAAAAACAAGAACAAAATAGAGCAAAAAAAAAATCTGTTGGCTAGTAGTCAACGAGCGCCTCTGAAACTAGGAGTGAGCTGGAGTCTGAAATAGCATTTGGAGCTATACCCACCAATATTATTTACTACAGTCAGATCTCTACAGGTGGAGGGTGTAGAGATGAAAACAGCTTCTTTTTTATCTCAATTTTAGAGATGGGAGGGTGTTTTGCTTACAAGGGTGAGCCCTGCAGTCAGCCCAGAGCCTTTTGAGACTTGTAGCCCAGAGAGATTTGACAAAACCTCCTGGATTAAGGAATGCAACAATGAAATCATAAGAAACCTAAATATATAAAATTAAGAAAAGCAGAGCCTTGGGCCGGCCGAGTGGCGCGATGGTTAAGAACTCGCTTGGGATGCCAGAGGGCCCCGGTTCGGATCCCACATATGAGGGCCAGTGACACTGCCCTCTACAGCTAAGATGCTGAACAACAGCTCAACCTGGAGCTGGGCTGCCATGAGTCGCTGGTGACGGCGTAGGCTGCAGTCCCTGTAGCAGTGGGTTGCCATGGGCTACCGTGTGTAGCCAGCAGCCAGCGTGAGCGGCCAGCAGCCGCAGTGAGCGGCCGTCCAGAAGCCGGCGACTGATCTGCCTCGCCTGGGAAGAGCGCAATGATGGTGCCAACTTGGGCCAGTGAAGCAGCGTCCTCCACAACTAGATTGAAGAACAAAACGACAGCAACTTGTCTGTTCCCCTTCCCCCAATTCCCCAGCACTGACCTTAAAAAAAAGGAGAACATTAAAAAAAAAAAAAAAGAAAGAAAAGCAGAGCCTTTCTGATTAAAGGAAAGGTGAAAATCCAACCAGTTGCTTATGGACCCATCGGACAGAGAGTCTGGGGACCCCCAGGACAAAGAAGAGTTTGCAAACCCCCACATGTCCCCTGAATCATCTTCCCTAAGCTTCATGATTTGAGTACTTCCTTTACATTTATAATCATATCTGTGCACTACCAGTACTATTTTTTTACTTCATATATTTCTTTAAATCACCTTTTTCCTGTAAATATATACAGTTAAACCTTTTATTATGAAAAATGTTCATACACAAAAGTATCAAAAGCACAACAAACCGAATGCACCCATTACTCAGCTGCAATAAATACCAACTTATGGTTTCTTGTTTCAGCTCTTCTCCCAATGCTGGATTCTTTCAAGGTAAGTCACAAACACATCATTTTACCTATAAATATTTCAGTATCTTCTAAAAGAGAAGACTCTTTTTAAAATATATGTATACAACATCATTATTATAAAGAACTTCCCATTTTCTTAATAGTAATTATCATACCCAATCAAGCAAATTATCTTATATGATTTTTTTTTTTTACAATTGGTTTGCTCAAATCAGGACTCATACAAGGTCCAGCATCACATTTAGCTG